CTTTAAGAAAGGGAACCAAGGAATTCCTGATCACCAAGTCTAATGACAGCTAAATAATTTTAGTAGTGATACATAAGGAACAGAACAAAATATATTAGTTCATATTGATATAAATGACAGATATCTTACTCTTGGGTAACTTACTAATTACAAAGAGACATCTTTCAAAATAATTTATCAGTATGCTTTGTAAGTGTCAAATAATGAAAGGCAATGACCTTTGGATCTGTCCCAGATTGGAAGAAAGTTAGACATAATTGACTGGACACAGTGTGGGGTACTGGATTGGATACTGGGCCTGAGAAGCAACATTGTTGGGACAAATTGGTGAAATCAGAAAACTTTCCTTTTAGGAAGAGTGTGTACACTTAGATTTTGACCTAACAGTCTTACACCTAGGAAACTACCTTGAGATAATGCACTCCAAGAGTATGAAAATGTATAGGCAAAAGCATATCAATTGCAGCATTGTTTGTAATTGCAAAAGTATTAGAAACCTAAATACCTCTAGTATATTCTCAATATTGATTCTATCAGTTTTCAGGTAGTTTGAAGTTCTGTTACTGTATTCTTGTATTTTGAAGTTGTTATTGTATCATCCTGATGTATTAATTAGCCCTTCATCATTATGAAATAATCTTTGTCTGGTAATACTTTGTCTTGAAACCTACTTTAATCTGCTCTTAGTCTTTTTATTTCAGCTTTCTAATGCATACTCTTTGATATCTTTTCATCTTTTTATTCTTAACCTACTTGTGTCTTGTAAATTGCATCTCATAAATACTGTGATTTTAACCCTTTTTAAAAATCATTTCTGCATTTCTTGTTCTTTTTTTAGATTGGTTTATATTTAGTTTGATTATTGATATAGTTGGATCAAATTAGCTGTCATACTTATATCTTTTGTATATGTGGGGGTTTTCTTTTGTTTGTTTTCCCTGATTTACAGTCATGGGTTTTTCTTTTTCTTTTTTTCTCATTGCTGAGGATTGAACCCAGGTCTTTTGCACTGAGCTACAACCTCCTCTTTATTTTATTTATTTATTTGTTTTTTGGTGGGACCAGGGATTGAACTCAGGCCCTTGAGTTTGCCAGGGAAGCGCTTAGTCTACTGAGCCATCTCCCCGGCCCCCTCCTCTTTATTTTTAAGATAGCATCTTAATGAGTTGCCCAGGCTGGGCTAAAACTTGCAGTTCTCCTGCCTCAGTTTCCCAGAGTGCTGAGATTGCAACCATATGCCACCATGTCCATCCAGCCTTTATATATATATATATATTTTTTAACATTTATTTATTGTGTGTGTGTGTGTGTGTGTGTGTGTGTGTGTGTGTGTGTGTGTGTGTGTGTGTGGCCAGCTCAGCCCACCAGGGGGCGGGGCTGGCTGGCATGTGGTGCTGGGGGATCGAACCGCGGTCCCTGTGCTTTGTCAAGCTTGTTTCAAGTAGGTGCTTTAGACCACTGAGCCATCTCTCCAGCCCCTATATTTGTTTTTGAAGAATTTGATTATACGATCTTTGGGTAATTTTAGTAATTTGTATCTGGGGTTGATGCCTTTCATCAGATTGGGAAAATTCTCGGTCATTACATTGTGAAAACTTTTTTATTTTATTTATTTATTTATTTTATTTTTTTTTTTAAATCTTGGACTCCAGTTACATGAGTCATAAACTGCTAGTGATTTAAACATCTTGCATGCATCTTATTTTTACTTCAGCGTGGAGGTTTTGGTTTGTATTGTTTACATTTCTTTAATCTGGCTACATTGTAAATCTGTTTTCAAACTTACGTTTTTTTTTTTTTTTTTTTAACAATCTGCTGTTCAATTTACCTAGTGTTAAATTAGTATTTTCAAATTCTAGAATTTCATTTTCTCTTTCAGATTTTCTTTTTGTAGCATGATTTACTGTTCATTTATTCATTCGGATTGCTTTTTTAAAAATTTTGGTCTGCAAACACTGTTAATGAGTCTGCTTTACAGTCTCCAAATTTCAGTGTCTCAGTCATTTCACGTTTGGTTTTTCTTAGCCTGCTTTTCTTTCGAATATGACTGAAGTTTTTCTCATAAGTCTTGTAATTTCCTCTTAATATTGGGAATTATATACTGTAGAAACTCATTATGTTAATTTTTTTCTGAAGATTGGTATTTTTGTTTTGTTTACCTGGCTCAGTTTATACTCTAAAGTTCATCACTTATGTGGCAGGTAGCTGAAGTCTCTCTTTACTTGTTTTAGGCTACTTGACATTTGTGTTGCAGTCAATGAGAGATTTGGGCAGTGTTTACATGTAAAATTGGTACTTCTCTTCTCCTTTCCAGAATTTCTGTGTCTACTTCCAGTTTTCCTGGTAGCCTCCAAGTCTGTTGTATCCCTCTTTAGGCTAGTAATACTACTTTCTTTTATTTGTGTTCCAGCCAGCCAAATACCATTTCTGATCTAACAGTAGGTAAAGATCCATGAAAAGGGGGTTACTATCTCAGGACCACTTCCTTTCTTTAAGTACTTTTTCTCTGGTTTTAAGTCTAACTTTGATCTTTCTCTGGTGCTTTTTGATCATTGTTTTTTTTTTTATCATTGATGTTTATATTTAATCTAGATTTTAAAATTGCCTGGGATGTTACTTCAGCATTATCAGAAGTAAAGCTTTTACTTAGCACTGTGAGCAATAAACTGCTACTGCTTAATTTGTATTGTAAGCATCCAACTTGCTTTGTCTTCACTTGCATAGTGATAAAGACCTATGTTGACCACCAGTTACCACAGATAGTACCATCTGCACATTACTTTCTTTGGCATGTATATTTCAATCTTGAGATTGCTGGATTGCAGCATATTCATATGCTTCATTTCATTAACAAGTCCCCTTTCAGCAGGACATGCGTGTTCTGTACCACATCCATTTTGTTTGCCAATTTGAAGAAAAAGAGATAGTGTGTTGTTTGTATTCCTATTTTCTGATTTCTATAGCTGTGTGCTTCACTTTTTTCCCCATCATTTATCGGTTGAGTTTTAGATCCAGTGCCAGTTTTCTGCCTGTTTTTTGAGTGATGTCTTTACTCTTTCTTATGACTTGTCCTGTTTTGGACACATTTAATAAGTCCCATCTCAAAGCATTATTGTACTATATCTTCTTCTCTTAGCTTTATACTTTTTATATTTAGATCTTTGATGCATTTGCCATTTTTTGCAATATGATAGGAGATAGAAATCCAACTTTGTTTCCCAAGATGATGCAGCCAATTTTTAAAGTATCACATTTTTTTATTACTGTACTAGAGTTTGGGGGTAACATTGACATCTGTTGAGATAGTTCTACAAGTTGTTCTTCCTTGCTATTTAAAACCTTCCTATAGTTCTCCACTGTCTTAGGATAAAGCCATTTTTGATTGGTATAAGAAGGGCTTTGTGAAGTAGTGCTTGCATTTTCTGCCTAGCCTGCTTGTACTGTAAACATGAGGACATTCTTGCTCTGGAAAATATAGTTATTGTACATACCACAATGTTTTGTTTGCTGGGTGTATTCTTCACTATACAGCAGTCACAACCATTGTTACGTGCATCATCTTAATGGGTTTTTTGGTCAGTTTAATAAATTGAATGAAATAACTTGGTCCTTGTCCTTTAGTAACTAACATTCTTAGTCTAGATTAAGAATTAACATTCTTAGTCTAGTTTGGCCGATGAATAAAAATGTATTTACTAATAATTTCAATGGACAATTCTTTAAAATGTTTACTAATTATATAGCTCCTTAATTCCCATTTATTTACTAATCTCTTTTCTTGATCCTTAGAACAACTGTATAGTAAGAAATATTACTACTTCTTTTATATCAATTTTTCTTATGATTTTTAATCATATTTGATTTACCTGGGTTCAGACATCTACTTTTATATTTGTACCTATTCTTTTGGAAAAAGACTTGTTTTCTCAGGCAGTTACAGAGTAGTAGTAATATTAATAAAAACATTTCAATCCATTATTTTGCTAATTATAAAAGTAGTATTTGTTTGTTTGTTTGTTTATTTATTTATTTATTTATTTTTGCGGAACCGGGGATTGAACTAGGGCCCTCGCGCTTGCCAGGAAAGCGCTTATTCTATTGACCAATCTCCCCGGCCCCTAAAGGTAGTATTTGTAAGTTTGCTTTTTTTTGGCCTTTTCCTTTTGTTTTGGGTTATCTTTAAGCTTTATGACTAACATTAATGGCTTTCAGTCATGTTAGTGCTTTTGAGAGACCAAGGGGTAAATGATTTCATTTGGAGATTTGCCTATGGAACCTTCAATATTACGAACATTGTTAGAGTAATAACTATGGGAGTTTCGATGTATTTAAAGTCATTGTATTGTAAATATGTAAATATTTTTATAAGCTTTTTTTTTTGCGGAACCGGGGATTGAACTCAGGCGCTTGTCCTTGCCAGGCATGTGCTTATTTTACTGAGCCATCTCCCTGGCCCCTTATAAGCTATTTTGTAAATGGCAAACTTGTTTTGAGAAAGTGTCTTTAAACTTAGATTTCAACTATTTTTTTTTTCACTTTATTTATTTATTTATTTATTTATTTTAAGCTTTTTGACAGGTGCTCAGTTGTTTTATTGATTTACTTGGAAATTTTCTAGGCAAACGGATTATGCAATTAGAGGTAGACTATTTTTCTAGTTTTATTAATATTACTAAATAAAGTTGAAGTTATTTATCTTATTAATGAAGTTGAACTTATCTTAGTTATTGACAGTTGGCAAATTCCTACAAGGTGATACTTTAATGCTTTGCCATAGTGCAGGTTAATTTCACTGGTAGTAGTTATTCTGGAACGTAGCCTGCTCAAAGCCGTTTACGTGTTAAAGAAACATTCATTGATGGAAGTCAGCACTTTCTTCCTTTCAGCTGGTCTTTAAAATATGCTAAAGCAATATTAACATTGTGTAATTCTTAATATATGACAGAGTTCTTTAAAGGCTATTATAATTTCATTTTTTGATAAATTTCTTTGCTCTTTAGAGAAAGTATCATTCTGCAAAGGAAGCTTATGAACAACTTTTGCAGATAGAAAATCTTTCTGCACAAGTAAAAGCAACTGTCTTACAACAACTAGGTATGTACTAGCATATATTTATCTTATTGTGCATGTTTCTCTATATGTCCTTTTTTAAATACATGTAAGGAGTAACAAATGGGTACCTTGTGTATTCCTTTTCCTTCCTTTGCACACATTTGATAAAATTAATTTGAACCCAGCATTGTTCCTGCCCTGCTAATAAGCATTGCCCATCTTCCAATCTATCTCAGTAAGACTTTTAATGCAGATGATCCTTTTAATATTTCAAAATTATTTCTAGTATTTAACTCATAATACATGCCATGTATGTACTTAGTAAAGTTCAGTGATTTGCCTAAAGTCACTTAGTGGTTTGTGAGGTTGCTTCTATACTTTTATCAATGCTCATTTATAAACTGTGAAGTTTTTTTTTTTTTTTTTTTTTTTTTTTTTGTGGCGGGTTCAGGCTGCCTTTTGGGCAGGTCTGCTTTGGCTTGAGGATGTGGGGATCGAAGCACAGCATCCTGTTAAACTGTGGAACTAAAACATTTTATCTAAAAGCTGTTGGTTATTTAATATGACAGATTGTATAAGCATGCGGTTATATTTTCATATTGAGCTTGAGGTAATCTGGCCATTTGGATGTTATGTATACGATCACCAGGAAGGTACAAGAGGAGCTCCTTAATATTTATTTATTTATTTTTAATGTATTTAGTACAGGGTCTACAGGGTCTCACTACACAGATCAGCCTCATAGTGATCCTCCTGATTTTAGCCTCCCAAGCACTGGAATTACAGGCACGCCACCATGTCCAGTCTCATTTGCTGTCTCCACGTACTCCAGGGGCAGGGGTGGCATGGCACGCTGGAGATCAAATCTCAATCCCTGTGCCTGCCTAAGCAGGTGCTTTAGTCTGTTGAGCTATCTGATTGGTCCCTTTAATATTTAATTTTGTTGCCTAATTATTGAAGTGGGATTTTTTTTTTCTGTATTGTATTTTAATTATCTTCTCAGTTGCTTTTCTTTCTTTTTTTAAGATCAGGGTAGAAACACTGTACAAATCATGTATTTTTAACTGACCTTTTATGTGCATGTTTTCATAAAAAATCTTTTATATAATTTAAAAGCAATTTAAGTTTAGATTTATTAATTTCATATTATTAACTCTACAAAATGAACACAATACCTTCATATAAAACCTTTGGTTTTAGTTTTAAATTTTATTCATTGGAAGTTTACTTGTATTGTCTGTATTCTTCAGACTTATAGATGAGAAGGTAGCTGATATGTAACTATAATTCCAGCATTCAGGAGCACACAGGCAGGAGGATCACAGTTTGAGAACAGCCAGGGCTGTACAGCAACTTTGTCTCCTGCCTGGGTTGTACGGAGAGAGCCTTGTCTCTCCGCCCTAAAAAAGAACTACAGAAGATCAAAATACTAATTTTTAATGAATAATGTGGTATTTGAGTCATGTGAATTTGTATCTTTAAAACAAGATTTTAGTACAGTAAGAATGGTTTTGATTCTGAAGTAAAAAGACTAAATGAGATACCTTTAAAATATTTACTCAGGGCTGGGGAGATAGCTCAGTAGAATAAGTGCTTGTCTCGCAAGCGCAAGGTCCTGAGTTCAATCCCTGGTACTGCAAAACAAAAATAAAAGCAAATAAAATACTTTACTCATAAGAACTTTTTGTTATCTATGCTGTTTATAATTGTTCAGTTTTGAATGTATTTCAGCTTCACTAAACAATATGTCAACAGCAAAAATGCATATACTTTTAAAATTTAAGAAATACATTGGAATGATTTTGGTTTGAGCTATTTGTGAATCATAAAACACCTGTCTTTTTTTGGCAATGATTTATTGAATTTCAGAATAGAAAAGTGAACTATTCATGGTTTTGAATAGAATATTTCTAATTGAGTCTAATTTATATCTGCGTAACTCTTTCCAACTTGTTTGTGGCTGTTAGTGAAACAGTTTCTTTTGGAGCCTGTTACTCTAGATCTTTTTCTCCTAGTAATGACAGTAGCAATATGGAAAGAACAGATCGAACTCAGGACCTTGAGTTTGCCAGGCCGGTGCTTATACCACTGAGCTGTATCCCCATGAACAGATGAGTTTTAATCTGAACAGTCATTGTTTCTTAGGGATAACATACTGGGTTAATACAGTGTCCTGGAAAGTCTTAAAATGTACATTAATTTTTACATGGAATAAGACTTAATATTTTATATTCCTGTTCATAACTTCAAGTTTTTAAAAATATCAATATTAGTAAATGACTACTTATAACTAATAGAACCATGTTATAATTTTATAATGAACATATTTGTTTAATAGTTTGTACTTATGGTTGTACTTGAAATCTTATACTGAAAAGGTACACTATTATTAGGGTATATATGACTTATAATCTACTGTTGGTATTTAAAATGTTTCAATTTGTCGTGAATAGAAGTTGTGCATTGCTTGACATTACCTTCTTGTGAGAATCAGACTTTTTTTATTGCCAAATTTGGCAATTCTAAAATTTTGGAGTGTGTACTCAAACCAAATCAGTAAGTTGACTGAAAAGAGTATTTTTATTTGTTTTCTATTTAGTGTTCTAAAAATAGAAGAACAATTAAGTAAAGTATATAAATATTTTGAAATTCTTTACTATAGGTTGGATGCATCACACTGTGGATCTCCTAGGAGATAAGGCTACCAAGGAAAGTTATGCTATTCAGTATCTCCAAAAGTCATTGGAAGCAGATCCAAATTCTGGCCAGTCCTGGTATTTCCTTGGAAGGTGAGATTTAGCAGATATTTGTATTTGGTTTTATCTATGGCAGCTAGGAGATACATCTTTATAATCCCAGCACTTGTGAAACTGAGACAGAAGGATTGCAAGTTTAAAGCCAGCCTGGACTACATAATATGATACTTCCTCTTAAGATAGTTGACATTAATATTCTGAACAATGTATTTTCTCATTTAAATGCAGTACATTGTAATAAAGATTCTTAGAAGTTAATAGTAAAAGAAAGCATTTTAATGTGATGATTTTTCTCATAATCTGGTCTTGCAGCATGTTTCTAATTTTGCTTAAATGACTATTTGACCATAATTATTGCTAGGTATTAAAAAGTTTTATCAAATATTTTTCGACAAAGCATTCAAATGCCTTTCATTGTGATTTCTACTGTTTTTCTCTTTACATATACTTAAGAGAACAAGGAATCTCTTAACTGTCCAATAGTTCCTCGGTAGCCAGTAGAACCTTATTATTTATACTTTTGATTAATAGTATATACAGTAAATAGACATTTGATTAATAGCATATCTTAAGTAACAATTCTACCCGAAGTGTCATAGTACAATGAAATTATGGATACATTTAAATTATGAGGCTTCAGTTTTCCTTTAAGCTATAGTATATAGTAGGATTGTATTAGATCAGTGGCTACCAGTGAGGGAGCTGTTAGGGAGGTACTACTGGCATCTGGTAGGCAGAGTCCAGGGATGCTGCTGAACATGCTATAATGCATGGGATAGTTCTTTAGAACAAAGGATTATCTGGATCCAAATGTCCTGAATCTGTAGTGAGAACTTTGAGATTAGATTACCTATTGCATACCTTCGTAGTACAGAGATTTTAATTTTATGATTTCCTTTGAAATTATCCTATGTTGGTTTAAGTTTTTTTCATGCTCTTTTTTATATAGGAATATTTAATTTTGAGTGAGTTGGCCATATAATCACATTAATTATTTATATAATTTCATTTTCCATTTAAAATTAGCGAAGTATGTTTAAGAGAATGGTACTATGATGTTTGCTTTAAAAATATTTGATTACTGATTAGTAATGTACAGTACAAGTTGTTTGGAAAGGTATCTTTTCTTGGCAGGGATTTTTTTCATCCTTCCTCATGCTTGTAAAAGTAGTCTAACTTGGATTGTGCCTAACTAAAGATTTGAGAGTTCAAACTTTGTGTTTCTCTTTTTCTGTAGCAGAAACTGTATCTTACCAACTTGTTATCTTTGTATTTTTTTGCATGACAAAATGACTAATCAATAATGAAGTAAATGAACTATCGCAACTCCATTTGTATTTGAGGTAGCACCATACTATTGTTAGGGTAGCAGAATGTGAAGCTTCATGCAGTGACTATGAAATAAGTCTGGCATCAGGAAGTGTGTGGGTTGCCTAGTTATTGCTTCTAGTTTGCAATGATTATGTATGAAATTTTCTTTATTGATTAAAAATAATCTATGCTAGAACATGTTCCTTTTGTCTGAAAGTAAAAGTTAATAGTTTAATAAAATTACCATACTTTGAATCATTTTTAGTATGCTTTTAAATTGAATTCTAGTTTTATACAATTAGTATATAGTCAGCTATACCTGAAGTTGCTTTTATTAATGCTTTTTTTTTTCCAGTTTCTTTTCTTTTCTTTTCTTTTCTTTTCTTTTCTTTTCTTTTCTTTTCTTTTCTTTTCTTTTCTTTCTTTTTGGGCGGAACTGGGAATTGAACTCAGGCTCTTGTACTTGCCAGGCAAGTGTTTATTCTACTGCGCCATCTCTCCAGCCCCTTTTTTTCAGTTTCATTCAACAGAATTTCACAGATTTATTTTGCAGTTAACTGCTTTTATGTTCTGAACCATTGAGATGCTTTTAATGAAATTTTTTGGCAAATTTTTTCAGATACTCATTTTTCTGACTTGTCACATAAGGCATACTTGTTTGTCATAATTTAATTTGGTTCAAGATGATCATTTTAGACATTCATTATTTTTCATCTGTAATATGATCCTGGGTCTGTTTAATACTTTCTTTGATGTTTACTTATCCTTTCTCACTGCCTTATATTATGTTCCTTCTAATCCATGTCATTGTGAGAAAATTTTACGCATAAATTATATCTTAGAGGGCGGGGGAGGTAGCTCAGCAGATTAAGTGCCTGCCCGGCAAGTGTGAGGTTCTGAGTTTAATCCCTGGTACCGCCAAAAAAAAAAAAAAAAAAAT